CAGTTAACTTCAATTGTCAATGTGCATTCTATTTTAAAAACACACACAAACACACACACACACACTTCCTATTTTTAATTAAATTTTTTTTTAGGGATATGAAACAGCATAGTTCTAAGAGTCAGAACTACAAAAAGGTGTACTCAGAGAAATGTCACACTCCCCTCATCTTTTCTACCCAATCTTCATTCTCCCATTCTTTCTGCCCTGCTCCCATTCATCTCCCCATCCCTTGTAGGTTAACAATGTCATTAGTTTCTGGTTTATCCTGTATTTATTTTTGCACAAATGAATGTGTGTGTGTGTGTGTGTGTGTATGCAAAGATTTCTTAAACAAGATACAGAAAGCACTAACCATAAAGGGAAAAAACTGTACTACATTGAAATCAAGAATGTCTGTTCATCAAAAGACACCATTTAAAGACATGGGGGGATAAAAGCCAAAGACTAGAAGGTATTTGCAATACGTTTACCTAAAAAAGATTCATATTCTTATATTTAGAATTCTTAGAGAACTCATACAAATTGGTAAGACAAAGGCAGATAACCCAATAGAAAGGTGGACAAAAGACCAAACAGGCACTTCACCGAACAGGATGTGCACGTGACTGTTAACATACAAAAGGTGGGCAATTTCAATGCTTACCAGGGAAATGCAAATTAAAGCAGAGTGTGATACCACCACATACCTGCCAAACGGCTAATATGAAAAAGACAGACAAGGGGCCAGCCAAGTGGCTCGTTGGTTAGGAGCTGGCTTGGGAGCACGAGCTCTGAGCAGCAGGGCCGCCGGTTCGGATCCCACATGGGTAAGTGATGCAGCGCCCTCTACAGCTAAGATGGTGAACAACAGCTCGACCTGGAGCTGGGCTGCCGTGAGTCACTGGCAACGGCGTAGGCTGCAATAGGGCTGCCATAAGCTACTGTGAGTGGCCAACAGCCAGCGTGAGCGGCCGACAGCCGGTGTGACCTGCCGTGAGCGGCCATCCAACGACCGGCGAGTAACTGCCTCGGCCAGGAAGAGCGCAATGATAATACCAACATGGGCCAGTGAAGCGACGTCCTCCACAACTAGACTGAAGAACAAAAGGACAGCAACTTGTCTGTTCCCCTTCCCCGATTCCCCAATGCTGTTCCCCTCCCCCAATTCCCCAATAAAATCTTTAAAAAAAATAAAAAAGGACAGACAAGTCCAAGTGTCAGTAAGGATATGGAACAATTGGAACTCTCACACACTGGTGGCAGTATAACTTGGTACAACAACTTCGTAAAATTGTTTGTCAGTATTTCATAAAGCTGAACATATGCATGCCCTATAACCCAAAACTTCCACTCCTGAGTTTAGTACATCTTTATAATAATGGCCCCCAATGAAACTTGCCTTCTTGTAGCCATATTCCCATATGCTACTGCTGCTCCCTGCAAGAGATAGATCTTTCCTAACTCCTCTGAATCTTCAGTTGGCCTCGTAACGTGCTTTGACCAACAGAATATGGCAGAGCTGACTTTGTGTGAGTTCCAGAGCATAGACCGCAAGAGGTCTTGCAGCTTCTGCCTTTGCCCTCTTGGGATCTAGCTGTCATATAAAAAATTCTAGGGGAGGCCGGTTAGCTCAGGTGGTTACAGCGCAGTGCTCGTAACACCAAGGCTGCCGATTCAATCCCCACATGGGCCAAGGAGCTGCGCCCTCCACAACTAGATTGAAGACAACTACTTGACTTGGAGCTGATGGGTCCTAGAAAAACACACTGTTCCCCAATAAAATTTTTAAAAAAAGAAGTCTAGGATATCCTTTCAGAGAGGTTACATGAGAATTAAAGTGTCCAGGTTCATAGCTAACACCAAGGTCCCAGACATGTAAGTAAAACCATTTGGATGTCCCTGTCCCACCCAGCTAGGATGCGTGAGCCCAATTGATGCCACATGAAACAAAGACAAGTCATCCCCACTGAGCCCTGTTCAAATGCCTGACCCACAGAATCACAAGCAATAAAATGGGTTTTGTTTTAGGCCACTAAATTTTGGGGTGGTTTCTTATGCAGCAGTAGATAACTGAAAATGAGTAAAGAGCAACATAGCAAAAGAAAAGGATACATATGTTCACCAAAAAGGCCATGTAGAAGAATATGCATAGCAGTACCATTAAAATTACCAAAACTGAAAATAACCAAGTGTCATAAACAGTAGAATAAATGTCGGTATATTCATAAAATGGAGTATTATTCAGCAACAAGAATAACCAAATTGCAACAATATGGATGACTCTCAGAAATATTACATTGAGTTAAAGAAGCCAGACTAAAATCTCTGTGCTTCCACTTATATAGAGAAGTTCAAAAACAAGCAAAACTAATCGAGGATACAGAAATCAGGAAAGTAGTTATGGGGGTTGGGTAGTGATTAGAGGGGGAAAAGGGGCTTTATGTGGCTCTGATAATGTTTTTATTTCTTGTTCTGGGTACATGTTACAAGGGTATTTTGAGAAAATGTATTGAGTCATATACTTAGGATTTATGTACTTTTCTATAATGTAAAGTTTACGTAAGAAGATTAAACCACTGTCCCCTTCTTTGATTTAAAAAAAATAAATTATTGGGCCGGCCGACTGGCGCATTGGTTAAGCAGTGGCTTGGGACGCCAGAGGGCCCCGGTTCGGATCCCACATATGAGGGCCAGTGACACTGCCCTCTACAGCTAAGATGCTGAACAACAGCCGTCCAGAAGCCGGCGACTGATCTGCCTCGTCCGGGAAGAGAGCAATGATGGTGCCAACTTGGGCCAGTGAAGCAATGTCCTCCACAACTAGAACAAAAGGACAGCAACTTGTCTGTTCCCCTTCCTCCAATTCCCCAGCGCTGTTCCCATCCCCACAATCCCCCAATTTAAAAAAAAATGGTCATGGCATTTAAAAGCATATTTTAAATAATCTAGGAGCACCCTTTGAAGTGGCAAAAGAATGGTGTTTTAATGGCATGCTTTGAGCTAAGTACATATGTATGAAACTAATTAAAGCATTTAATGATCTATGGAAGCTGTTTGAGTGGTTGAATAGCCAAACCTGAGGAGCGGGGAGTGGGTGGAAGTGGATATTTTGCCATTTTCATTCTTTTAGATAATTGCAATTTGAAGAGAGTTGTTTGTGCTTCATGTTCTTTGGCAAAAATATTTTTTAGAGGGAATATAATGATGAAATGAAATAATAATCATATTTCAATCGGGCCGTGCATCAGAATCACTTATGGAGATTTCATAGCCACAGATGGCTGGGCTACAGCCCAAGGATATTTACTCAGGCTATGTATTTTTTAAAAATCTGAATTTAAAAAATTCTGCAGGTGATTTAAAAATAATAATTTTTAAAAAAATGTTTTTATTGGGGAATTGGAACAGCGCTGGGGAATTGGGGGAGGGGAACAGCCAAGTTGCTGTCGTTTTGTTCTTCAGTCTAGTTATGGAGGATATTGCTTCACTGGCCCAAGTTGGTACCATCATTGTGCTCTTCCCAGGCGAGGCAGATCAGTCGCCGGCTTCTGGACGGCCGCTCACTGCGGCTGCTGGCCGCTCACGCTGGCTGCTGGCTACACAC